GCGTGTGTGCGTGTGTGCGTGCGTGCGTGCGTGCGTGCGTGCGTGCGTGCGTGCGTATGTGTGCGTGCGTGTGTGTGTGTGTGTGTGTGTAAAATATTAAGTAATAGACTTATAATCGTTATATAACAAATGGAACACACACACACACACACACACACACACACACGTGAGAGGCAAGGGGATTACAAAATAAGATGATGACTTTGACTTTGATCTTGACCATGTCCTTTAAGGTCATTTCAAGGTCAACCTTATTTCTTTAAATGGAACCTCCTACATTTTATTACATACTTTTATAACTTATCTCGAGAGCTTTCCAAAAAACTATAATAAAACATTTTTTTATTAAGTATTTTTTGAGTTATAAAGGTTTGAAGTTAACAATTTGTTAAGTGGCGTGTGATTCCGGCCAGTTAAGGCAAGAGTGGCGTGTGGGTCCGGCCAGTTAAGGTAAGAGTGGCGTGTGGGTCCGGTCAGTTAAGGTAAGAGTGGCGTGTGGATCCGGCCAGTTAAGGCGAATTTCATTTCAATTGGTCAGCTTGGGCAAAATATTCAATTGTATCAAACAATTCACAACAAATGTTCAAATTGTTGCCCTTCAACAGCCTGGCAATGTGCCAATCTGTTATAAACAGCTAAAACCGCATTCCGGTACATTTCCGGCGGTATTAGTTCTATCTCTTGAGTTATTCTCCTTCTTAAATCATCTAAATTTTGAGGCTTGGTGGCATAAACTTTACTTTTCAAGTAACCCCACAAAAAAAAGTCAAGTGGGGTTAAATCCGGAGACCGAGGTGGCCACTCAATATGACCCCTTCGCCCTATCCACCTGTTCTGAAAGACCTTATTCAAATATTGACAGACAATGACACCATAATGAGGTGGAGCTCCATCCTGTTGGAAATAAATTTCATCCATATTTACTTCGGACATCACGCATTCGAGCAACTTCTCGCGATTACCTTCGGGCAGTTTTCCGCCATAACCTACTAGCATAACCGCTTGAAGCCGTACAACTTTGCTATTGAACAATTTTTTCCAAAATGCATTCTTACTGAAAATATTAGGGGGATCCGACACTTTTTGATTAATGTATTTTCTTTAAACCAATTAATTAATCTCATTATTCCGCGCATAAAAGTATTAAGGTTATGATTATTGAAAACTAAATAATATTTTACAAGATATTTTACATTTTGTGTCAAAAGATTGTTGACTTCAAACCCTTATAACTCAAAAAGTACTTAATGAAAAAATGTTTTATTATAGTGTTTTTGAAAGCTCTCGAGATAAGCTGTAAAAATATGTAATAAAATGTAGGGAGTTCCATTTAAAAAAATAAGGTTGACCTTGAAATGACCTTAAAGGACATGGTCAAGATCAAAGTCAAGGTCATCATCTTATTCTTCGCTTGAAACCATACAACTTTGCTATTGAACATTTTTCTCCAAAATGCATTCTAACTGAAGATATTAAGGGGGTCCGATACTTTTCGATGACCCTGTATATATATTTGTTTTATAAATTTCAGTTTAAAAAACACTTCCGATTAAACGAAGATACAGCTTATAAACTCATTGAACAATATGAACAATCGTCTTACCCACCATTAAATAATCATGAAGGAATTGAAAGAAAGTTACCAGAAGAAGATACATATACTGGTATTCTTGTGGTTCGTTGGTAATAAGAAATCATTGCGATGTGTTGCTACGCTTTTTGGAACCTGCGTCAGAACAGTTTTTCATCAATGTGAGAGGGTTATGAATTATCTGATTGAAATTGCGGAAAAAGTCATTAAATTTCCAGACGATTTGGAGGAAGAAGCAAGATCCTTTGAAGAGATTGCGGGGTTTCTGGATGTTATAGGCTGTATCGATGGTTCATATATAAACATAAGAACACTAGCTCACAAGATTGCATCAACTTATGCCAATCGACACGACAAAACATCTATAATATTGCAAGCGATATGTGATTCAAAGAGAAAATTCATTGATGTGTTCACTGGAGTTCCAGGAAAAGTTCACGATGCGAGAGTATTTAAATTGAGCGATATCTAACAGAAGCTGCCGGAAATATGCGGGAAAAATATCATATTTTAGCTGATTCGGCTTATTCGATACGCGAATGGTTACTTGTTCCATTCAAAGGCTACGAAAATTTAGGAGAAATGGAAAAAAGATACAATAAAAAACATTGTCAAACTCGCGTACGTATTGAAAATACCTTTGGTCTATTAAAAGCACGGTTTCGACAGCTGTTATTACAGATTGATATGCATACAGTTGAAAAAATCACAAAATTCATTGTCTGTTGTTGCGTTTTGCACAATCTATGCATAGACAACAATGATATATGGGATGAAGACATTTCTGATTGTGAAGAGGAGCAATTCGTAGCTGATTATGAAGACGTTTCAGAAGACATTCTGAAAAATATCGGAGAATTGAAACGATTTCGAATAATGCAGAGTCTATAATAAAATATCTTTATTTTCTAATAAACATTTGTTTGCTTTTATTGTATCCTTTAACATATCCTTTAACATCTTACAATAAATATAACACATCAATATATAAGTACCACAGTTTAGAACCTTAAGTATACATATCACTCATTTTTGTACTGAATCTTATATAACTATTTTATATTGTACTTTTAGAGATATCGCGTTTAACCACATTCCAATACAGCTATTCACAGCTACTCAATGAAATGAAATAAATCATTTTCTTTAATAACTAAACAAAATCTTTTCCTCTCGCTGATCAAAAAATATTGCGATGCAAATACATAAACATTTTATTTAATATTGCTTACTTTCGAACTAAATCTAACAAACGTGTATTACTTAATATAAATATTGTACTTAATTAAAAGTAAATCAAATAAATAGTTCCTTTAATGATTAATGAAATTTTTTGTTTTGCCTCTAGCTAATCATAACAAAACTATAAAGCACTTAAGGAACGTAAATTTCTAATATATGGTTTGCTTTTAAAAAAGTGAAGTAGAAGTAAGGGTTGATTTATACTGGTCGTAATCTGTTAACTTATATCATAATCTGTAAAAACTGACCAATCACAGTCAAATGAGAGGGAAATAATCGATTATAATTGGTCAATTTTTACAGATTACGATATAAGTTAATAGATTACGACCAGTATAATCCAACCCCGAATCAAATAAAGGATAAATAATGTCAGCTATGTATATATATATATATATATATATATAATGCCACAATTCACGTATCAATGCCATCTTATCTTGGTGTCGTTTCTTCCGAGCTTTTTCTATCTTTTCATGCAGTTCTTCCAATTTTTCTGTGATAGATACCTAAAAATAATAATACAAAAATTAGTAAAGCCCAGAATAAAAGAACGAAATTTTGCACCGGACGTAACAGTTACTAATTTGTATACTCTATACATATTTACAGCTATTACTTACAGCTTTTTTTTTTGTTTCCTGTGTTGAGCTATTTATTTTTACAGAAACTCTTTCTGAATTTTTTAATCTCTTGACACCTTTAGCAGTTCTCACAACTTCTGGCTGAATACTGTCATCAGTCGAAGCAATTTTGTGTAATTCTTCCTCAAAGGGTACATTCTGCCTAGAACTGCCTGATTGAGAATTATTATCAATTGCACACTTCTTTCTCCGTAAAATAGTTTTGTACCGATTCTCAACTTGCAGATATGTTCGTTCTTTGCAGAATTTCTGTGAAATTTCTTGCGCAAGTTTCATCCACATTGCTTTTTTTGTTTTAAATTTTTTTTGCGGGCCAATTTGTGGTAAGTAGATAAAAACCTGATCCAATAAATATTTTGACTCATTATCTTGCCAATCTGAAATCAGTATTTTTATTTTTATAAGTTCAACTATTAAGCACATAATGCTTTTCTTCCTGCTGGATTTAGCATCTTGTCACTATATTGGCTGCAATGTTAGCAATACCAACTAGCATTCAACAGGAAAAAAGTATTGTGTACCGCCGTTTTTACTCTGATTATTTCATACAAAACTATAACAAATTCAACAAAGACATAAATCGTAATTTTATACTCATATCTCTACTACATCATAATTTATAACATTAATTTCTCTTATTCTCTCTTATTAATATAGTTTATTTTGTTTTCAAATGTTTATCACTTTTATTATCACTACATTCTGATGAAGAAGACTTTGGACTAGCATCACTAATCTTTGTATTTAGGTTTGGACTTTGATTTTCCAAGTCACTGTCAATCTCAACGAAAATGCGATCAGGATTCCTATAATATTCCGTCATATTTGTAAAACATAATACATGATATTATAACAAAGTATTAAAATAATAAATTTGAGAGATTATTTGTATTGCGTTTTATCGATGGATGTGTATCAATTGCACATGAGCCAATTGTGCACAAGCCAATCACAGCTCTATAAAAAGAAATAAAAAAGAAATTTCTAGTCAGAAGTCGCTAGGCAGTGGGTAATTACTACAGTATGCAAGTGAACCATTACCATTGTCAACTATTGATGTTGTTAATAAACAACTGTCGATAAAACACAATACAATATACATATGTATTTGATTACCTATATAACATGTCCAAATCATTTCCTCTTAAAATTTCAAATATTTTCTCTTTACATTGAATTTGTCCATTACGGACAAGAGAGAATATTTTATTAACTGCAAAGTTATCATCAGCTAGAAACACAAATAATATTAATCACATGCTTTTTTAAAACATTAAACAATAATACACACATATTACATACGATAATATTTCCAAAAGGTACAGTAAACATATTTCACATATTAATACAAAATAAAAATTTGTTGTAAATATATACAGGGTGTTTGAAATTAACCGCCAAATATTTCGTGTGTGGGTAAAACAGACTATACTAAATTGAAAAGTCCTGTACCATTTTGCGATTGCAATAATAGTTAACGAGATATTAATTTATAAATATATTTAAATTCGCCCGACCTACCGTCAAATGCAAGCGCGCGGCTGGATAGGACCGCCCTGCAAAACGCGCCGCTCGCGTTCGCCGTCGCTAGGCACGCGACTCATGTCTAGCGACGAACTATTTCTGCTTATAAACAACGCTTGTTATAAACAACGCCTAGCAACGGCGAACGCGCGCGGCGCGCTTTGCTGGGCGGTCCTATCCAGCCGCGCGTTTGCAAAATTAGGCTGTTTCTAAACTCCAAACCCCTGGATCTCGGAAACAACTTTATTGATAAATGTTTTAAACAAACGTTGCAGGATATAAGGAAGAGATGACAAAAATACGATATTGACTTGATCTTGAAAACAAACTATTATCTGAAACGTTTTTCCACGTCAAAAGACGTTTCCAGATCCAGGATTTCAGTGTTTTTTTTAATGTTCATATGTAATAAAAATATAACCTCCAATATATATATATATATATATATATATATATACATGCATATTTTATTTACTTACTTAAAACCCGTTCGTATTCTTCTTCCTGACCAGTTTCGAAATCCAATTCAACATCTATTCCATTTATTTGAAAGAAAATAAACATTTTTGCGCAATATTTTAACAAATCTAACGTGTTGGTCTCAATTATACACGATAGCATGAAATAGTGTACACCATGGTGTATGTAGTCCCTATACACTAGTGTAATGCCACACTGGTGCAGCACTTACACGCAACTGGTGTAGTGCGAGGTTACACTCAGTGTATCCCAAGAGAAAACGCTATTAGTTTATGCATCGCATTATAATTTTACATAAATAATGTTGAATACATAATGTCGCGGTTACTTTACCAGAAGCACGCCAAAATTCGCCTAATATCAAATATACGTTACATAAAATTCGATTGAATGTACTATAGGAGTAATAGCAAATTCGCTACTAATCTTAGAAAATGAGAAATATGGAAGCCATTCATCCTACATGGTTAATAATACTGTCAGTATTAATAAATACTGACAATATTATTGATCGTGTGTGGTTAATATTGATGGATTGACATGGAATATTGACGGTGATCTGGATTTTGACTTTTGAGCGTTGATATCGCTTTATTAGGATCCATGTCAGTGCAATAAATATTGTACGTAAAATTAAAGTAAAATATATATTGTCAATAATACTGATCGTGTAAAATTGTAAAAGTTTTCAAAAATATTGATACGTACTGTCAGTATTACTAATTTACAATAATATTACTGATCAGTATTATTGACTGTGTATAGGATTATCTAAAGATACATAGAATAAAACTGTCCACATGTACTTACCAATTTCATAATCAAGTATAGATAGCAGATACCTCTCACTGCAAATATTCTCTCTGAGAGAATTATAACAATAATTCTTCTTTCTAATAAGTCTTCTTTCTCATAAACAAAGAAAAACAGATGAAAACAGACACACAACAACGTAAAACCGCGGTAAAATGTACGTCCAGACGAAAGCCGACGATAGTATCCGATGGAACACGATGGAAGCATTAGGCCGGGTTCATATCTTAATGGTAAAGCGGAAAGCAAAAGAGAGTAGCCAATCAGAACTCGCGCTAGTAGTCGATTTTCTGTTGGTTTTGTACAAAGACATAGAGAATGGACTGCGCGATCCGTGTGTCAAAATGATCAACAAAAATGAGAGAGGGGGACCGTGGAAGACGGCCATCTCCCTCTCATTCTCTCTTCCATTACACCATGGAATAGAAAAAGATAGAGATGGCCGTCTTCCACGGACCCTCTCTCTCGTTTTCGTCGACACATTTTGATACTACATAGATACGGGATCGCGCAGACCATTCTCTATGTCTTTGGTTTTGTACTACTTACTACCAGCGCGAGTTCTGATTGACTACTGCTCTTCCGTTTTCCGCTTTTCCATTTTAAAGTGTGAACGCGCCCTTGTTTACTGCACACGCTATAAACGTGATAAGTTATATCCAATATAAAAGCTTTGCTTTTTTTGCACGTGACTATTGAATGATGTGCGTTTTGCGTTCCATCTAACGCCGGCGCGTGACGCGCCTGTGAAATTATTTCAATCTTGTAA